CATAAGGTTGACAGAAACTTGGGGACTGCGCCTACCTGATGAGCCCCAACAAGAGCAAAACCGGTCGTGGGTTGTCGAAGAGTTTTCAGCAACTTTGTGAGTAGTTTCCTTTATGAAAAAGAGAATATTCTCTATAACATAAATTGTTTAGAAAAGTGGTAACTAAAATTGTTTGTTGTTGGTCTTACAAACCACTAATGACAATAATGGTTATCAAAGTCGTTTCCGGATCCTCAATTCACAATTGTCCCAAGATTATGTGCATAAATCAGTTGAGGTGGACATTACTTTCGCTGGCAAGTGAGCGTTTACGGCCGGCGGTAAGACCTGACTTGAGTGAACATATAGACTCAGATCTAGGGGACCAAGATATGAGATGGCATATGTGTGCAAGTTTCTTCTTCTTCTTCAAAATGAGATTTCCATCATAAGAGGTTCGTCGGGAATTTTGTCCGATGATTTACCAATGACTGGCGGAGCGATCACATGATATCTGCCGCATTGATCGTCCTAATTAAGCTACTCATGAGTAGCATTGGGACGGCGAGTTTGTCAAGGCCTCACGCTTCCTAACATGCAAGCTCCTCATGCTTCGTAACATTCAAGCATGAAGATATTTGCTAACGGGCCATCCAACGAATGTTTAACAGCGTACTTCATTGGGCATCAAAGTAATTTTTTTCCAATCCCAAGCCCTGATAGCTGGAACCACCGCCTGTCTTGGTTCTGTGTTCATTCCACTCACCCACAAAACAGCCCGAACTACTTGAACAAGGGACAAACTCCTCAATAGTTCAAGCATTTTCTCCAGTTCAAAGCTCGATCAATCTGTTGTCCAATACTGTTGAGGATAGACTGACGTTCGCTTTTCATCGATTTCAATGTGGAATTCACCATCTGAAGTGCTTTGTAGGCAGTAAACCTTACCCGACTGCCATCCTAAAAAGTCTGATTTTGAAACGAAACTACTGAGTCAGACGAACCAGCGAAAAGAATGTTGTCTACCAGATAAAGTGGATGGAGAGCAACTTGCATTCCATTGAACGAACCGGGAAGAAACCACATTCAGGAGTAAACAATATCCAGGCAGACGTAAGGAAACACGATTCACGTTTTGATTCAATCAAACTCAAGTGAAAAACCAGTCACCTGGGCTGTTGACGGGGCAATTGTTTCCCGGCCCTGTTTATAGGCGCAAACAAATACCATCTAACATCGCCTCTTCGGTTCATGACAATATATTGATGACTTCATCTCGATTTGTTGCGAGACGTGTACAATAAAATTGCCAAACTCGCCAAACAACTCGAACACCAACTGAGTAAACTTGAACTACCAACAATTTCTCATTCAGAAAGTACTGTTCATAGCTAGATTTCCGAGCAATGTAATGATGGAAGCAAGTACACGAGTAGTAATCTACGTGCTACATTTCCTGGAACACAGCACCGTTACCTCTTTCAGGTTATTTTCTGTTGATGTTCACAAAAATTTCCCACCATACGATAAAGTTAACTTCCCCTGATATTTGGCGTGCCTTTATTTATTCATCTGGTTGCTTTCGACATCTCAGTCTCTTAAGTACAGGTGTTGTGGGCCTACAAATAGAGTGAAGGCGTCGCTATGAAGAGTCAGCTGTGACCAATGCTTTTGAGAATGGTTGGGGGCAGGCTGCTGGTTTTAGCGCTACAACTGTGCGATAAGGAATCATCAGCACTACACACATCACAAAACTCCGTGAATCCTCGACTTTCTGTGTTTATTCCGAACAGCATTCCTTAGTCCACTGATTCACAATATATTTTCCCTTGGTTTGTCTCGGCGAGGCAGCTTTTCATGGAGACTAGTAGACTAGTTGAGAGTAGCGGTAAGTCCTGTTTTCACCAGAGTAACCTTGGCCATATATCTACTCTCGTTTGTGATTTCTCCTAGTCTCCTCTAGTGAGATATCTCCATACATTCTCAAATTTCATATACGACGGAGGTTTTCACAGGTCTGCCTTCTAGTGATGTTCTGATACTTATTTAATCCCTTCAATGAGCGCATTCTCCTTTTCTGAGCAGGCGGTAAAAATATGCTTACTCCAGCTGCTCCAAAGTCCGCTGAGACATAACTAGTACACCACTAGTACACAGTCATATGAATCAATCACTTTGGATGTGAAACTGAACGTGGTCGCTGAAGCACTTTTTGCAGCCAACGATAGACTGCTAGCTGGAGTGCCCCAAAATTTTCATCCGCAATCTTATCGAGAAGATATTACTGATTTACAGAGTCAGCAGTTGAAAATCTTGTAACTACTGCTGACCCCAAAGACAAAACTGGTTTTTTATCGTTGGAAGAAAATATGCCATCGTAACCCATAGTCTCAAAACGAATACTGACAAAAGATTCAAATGAACTCAGCAACAGCATTTAATACGAATATACCTGCCATTATCTTCGCCCGTTGTTTATATATCTGAGTGGGCCGACTGGAGAGTTTGTTCAAAATTTTCGCCCCGATAAGTAAATTTACTTCTTCAAGATATCTAACGAACGGAATCAATGAATAAATTACTCTGTTCCGTGTTCACCGAGATCTGAGATCAGACTGATGATAGAGCTGTTAGCCTCACTCAGGATGAAAAGCGTTTGATTGGTTATTTAGGCCGATACGCTACCACCTGTCTACATCGAAAGTTTCAATCTAAGTGTCTTCTGTTTAGAAATTGAAAATGTCTCGCAGCAAATGCGATAATAGGGGGAAGACACCAAAAATACTCCTAAACTGTCATCTATCAAGAATGATTTTTGCACAGAGGCTAAACAAGGAGCTCACTCAGATTCATGGCATTTGTTTATGCGGCTACTTTGATGGTTACTAGTGACCAAGTGGATCTGATGGGTCTCGCCAAGAAAGAATCGCCCATTGAGGGCTCTTCCATTGTAGCCACAGGCTTGGTGGTCATCACGTTCGATACGACTTTCTGTGTATCGTTGGCGACTCCACACTACGGAAAACTACAGAAGCTGTTAAACTGAGAGAGATATAAACAGTAACCTAGCTGATGAGCTTCTACGAGGAGTAAATACTTGGGGAATAGTGCCTAATATCAGATCACAATTTTCATGCAAACGACATATAACAATTTCGGTTACAAAAATCTGTGTGAATCTAAGCACTTTAAGTTTGAAAACTATATTCGCCAATGAATAAAGCCACGGAATCAATCTGTACAGTTTTTCCCGTGAAAAATGCCCCTAACAAACAAAAATAACAAAAATAAATAAATAAATCGTTGTACTCAGTGCACTGAGTTGTCACATTAGAGCTCTGTTTGATTCCTCTTGTAGACGAAAGATTGTTGGGCCCGTATTGTGTCCCTAAATTAAGTGTTAATTACGTGACGTAATTATTTGTTTCCCTATTCCTCTGGCTAATTCATCACCCTTCCGGTGACTGTGCAAGTTTCAAGGCTGAACCGTTCTATTTTATAAAAGGTTTACTCTACCTCAGCCGTTTTTCTAATGACGATTTGTTTACACTTCTGAGATTGTTGTTGAAAATATGTCCCACTTTGAACTGAACAACATTTCCCCCGTTTAATTTGTCCGATAGCACACTGCCCTTCATGTGCCATCCTGTGTTGATAACTGCCCAAGGCTCAATCTACCGTAAGCCTTCCTTTAATTCTCCTCACGATTTACTGTTAATTTCCTATAGAACCACGGTCTACCTATCTATACTGTCTGTCCACGTCCGATTCAATACATTGTTCGCTGCCCAATTGCGACTACCGAAGAAACGCAGAAGAAGTTCGTAGAATTCGGTTTCGCCGCAGTTATTACTGACCGTCCGTTGGTGAATTAGACTACACGTTACCTGTCAGATAGGACACCTAGATCTTGTGTTTAGGCTAATTAGCCAATTCCTTGCTTTGAAATCACGGCCTTAGCACAGGATCGTACAATAAGCTTGCGTTTCAGATTTCCACCCAACGTTTCCTCCGGTAAAAGGCACTCTTCACATATCATTCCCAGCTTACCTAGGCATGTCCAACTTCATCCGGAAATGTTGAAGTTAGACTTTCACGTGACTCATTCAACGCCTAAAGTCACGCATTGAGTTCAAATGAACAAAAATTAAGCCTAATCAGTGGGTTTACGCATGGGAGCGTTTTTGGTTAAATTATCACACAAACGCGGATGCTGACCTAATCACTGGTTGCGCTTGATTTACACGAAATTCGTCCTAAAAATGGATGCTTGGAGAGAAATCAATAAGGTCACTTTTGACGCTTTGCTTGGTGCGCATTTGCTGACCGGAAGGTCCGTGGTTCGAACCCGACCTCTGCCTCTCGACTTCCCCTGTCTAGGCTTGGGCAACCTGAGAGTATCCCAGCCATCGTCCTTCATTCGGGTGGCATGGCGGCTAGGCACCGAAAGGGCGCTACAGCCGAACGACTTGGCTCAACTCTACGCGGTAACATCATGCCAAAAATGGAGAGAACACAATAATAATTCAAGTGAAGGCGTTTCGATTGAGGAGGATGTTGGTAGGTGTTCACTGGTTTGTTCGCAGAGCTGGGCAACCTGATTGTAAACGTCTCATCGCCAACCGAGTCAACATCCCCGGTGCGTCGTTTAGTAATTAGGGTGGGGCGTATCGGTGAGTTGACTTATGTACACAACCCAAAAGGATGTTTGAAAGCAAATCACAAACAAGCACACACAAAATGACTTTCACGACCAAACATGTGGCAACAACATATTACTTAGAACCATATGCTCAGAATCATGACAGAATTTTCTTCCCTTGGTGAGAAATAAGGATTATGGACAAACGCAAAGCAAGTAATTGGTTTTTTTTTATTTTATCGAAGATTCACTCACAAGTATGTATGGCGTAACCTACACCCAATGTCATCGAGGTCCCATGTAGAGATGATCCGTCGCATGGAGTGGCACTGTTCCCATGAAGTATCTGGCCGCAAATTAAAATGCACAAAACAAACCAGAAGGATAACATGAGAATAATCCGGAGAACCAGCAAGACAAGGATGTACTCAAAAATATTCACGAACTTTTTATCAATAAAGGAGGAAAAAATTAGATTTCACGACGCTGAGTTTTCTAGCTAGCGATCACGGAGATACAACTGAGAATCCTAGAATTTGTTTGCTTTCGAAACGCTTTGATTTTCACTTGTCTGTCTACTTTTGTTTGTAGACAACATGAATGATTCATGTTCAACGTCAGTGAACTCTACGGCAAAATTTGATATTGACCGGAATGTAGAGACATCAATTTATGAGTCATCCTATCACCACGTGAGATACTTTTCAACAGGCTTTTTCAGTCTCACCAAGTCGCGGACATTGTAGCTATTTTCTTCATAGAAATAATGTCAGTATCTTTTCAAATACGTCTAATTGAGGATAGCTTCGAATGCGAAATTGTTTTAATGAGTGTGACCTTGTATTTGAGTCCGTAGCCACTATGAGGAGTCAAAGTCACCACTTTTGTAGCACGACGTCTTCAAAATTGCCCATGTTTAGGACTTGTGGAAGTGAATGAGCCTTTCGCTTAGACATGATATTCCACATGGACTGCCACCAAAATACTTCGGGATGTTTACGCACTATGCTACATGATATTTGGGCACCGTTGTAATATGCGACAGCATAAAGTGCGTTGGCACCTTAACGGCAGATATCTGTCAGAAGCCCGCATCAGAAAGAGCGATAAGTGGATTGCTTCTGAAGATGAACTGAATGGCAGTAAACCTTTGGAAGGCCTTGAACCACTAGACGACTCGAGACCCATGCGGTGAAACTGGCGGTGGGCGGTTATCTGTAAGCTGTTGTAATCTTACGTGCAAGTGGACAAAAGTTAGGTGATTTAAAGCACAGTAACATCTCGAAAGATACACTGAAAAGGGACAAAATGTCCATTTTCCTGCGGATTTTTGACTTTTTTTAAATTACTGTTATACGTCAGTGGTTCTCAGGGCGGGAGAATTCAAACCCAAATACAGATTTTGAAAAAATATCTGGTTGACCTTAAAGGTTCGAAAATTGCAATTTTGATGTGATTTATACCTGGCTCAAAAAATCTTAAACGTTGCCTTCGCTGTTTTTGTCCCGATGACAAGGTTCATATACATTCTGCCGTTATCACTAAAATTCGGAGACATTAAGGTGCAAAGATTAAAAAAACGACAATGTACTTTGTGCTTACATAGGGATATTTCTAATCATCACCCGAACTCAGTACAGCCAACGATATCGAAACCAAAAGAATTGGTACGTTCATATATACGTAATACACTACTCATAAGGTTGCTGAAAATTCTTCGACAGCCCACGACCGGATATGCCATTCGTGGGGCTCATTAGGCGGGCGCCATCATTGAGTTTATATCAACCATATGTTCTGTTTGAACCCAAATTATACTGATTGCGGCAACTACATCGATTTGCAAATCAGTTTGTTTTTCGTTGGAATCTCAGGTGAGTCCCAAGAAGGACAAAACCTGTCGTGGACTATTGAAGCGTTTTCGTGGCTCTAGTTTCCTTGACAGATTAGGCGCATAGCAGGATTATGTAATCAAGTGCCTCAAATGAATCATACCTAAAGCTAATGAGACATGTAGAGCACGTTGGATTGCTTGTTTGAGTTGGGGTTCTACTGAAACTGATCTTGGCACTGTATACATCTTTCTGCGCCTGAGAACTCTATTTTTTTAAATTCACTCTAAGTTGAACTATCACCTGGACTTATCATGGTCATTTTGTATTATATTAGGTTTGCATTATCTACTACTTTTTTGTATCTGCGATTGATCGCACTTTAATTCAATAAAAATCATCTAACCCTCGGTACATGGCTATAAGTAAACGTCGAGTTTCAATTTATCGTTGTCCCAACGTGTGCTCTTTATTACTAAATTGACATCAGCGCACTACAGACGGGAGATGGAATTCCAAAGTGATATTTTACCATTTCAAATCTAAGGAATGGCAGGGAAAGTTACACCGACTGTTAACAGGAAATCGAAACGTGAGTCGCTCTGTGTCGTGTCTTCATGCTTTGGCAGCTCAACTTGGCAATGTAGTTGCAAGCGGCCAAACACCTTCGGGATGAGATAAATGACATATCATTTTGAATCTACTTAATCTCATAAGTAGTGCTAACACCGACTGGCCTTCAGTTATGATTGGTTGTTGGAATCGCGGTTCTATTGGATGCACTGATTTGTCCATAACCGCGTGGATTCTGGGTTCAACCTCATTCATGGTTCGGTGCTTGAGTGAGTTCACTCCAATTGGAAACCTTCCCAAAATGGGGCATAATCTTTTGCACAAGAACTGTGAGTAATATATTCTGGCTTTGGTTGCTTTTGCCGTCAAATCATCTGCAGTTGGAACCAGGTGGTGGCGCTGCAGATGATAAGATAAAATTCTCGAGATTGTAGTACCCTTTCCTGAAATCAGCATACCGTAACGCTCCCGACCAATGGATCTGGTCAAGCTAAAACTGGCGCAGCGAAGTAGCATTCGTCATTCAGGTAAGCACATATCATTGTTACCAAATCAACGTATGGAATGTGAGAAAGAAAACCCGGTTGTAGTCAGTGCTCTCTTAATTGGAATGAAAACTAGAGTTTTCTACTGTTGCTCCCTCTTCAGCTCTATGTATGTGTGTATTGATTAGACCAGTGACTTATATTCGCGACTCCGTCTTGTCAAAGATTCTCACTAGCACTCATCTTGAAATGTATAAATTCACCTCGTTAAACTGCCTTTTCTGTTCAATGACCTTAAGCCTGATTAGCTCAACACCACACGGAGGCAATCTTAGCTTAACTGGTGTATATAAAAAAAACTCAGCTTGGCGTTTAAACGAGCTCATTGGATTCACAAGGTGGATAGTAAAGTACAGCATGGTATAGTATATGCTATACAAATAATAGAATGTGGTATGTCGATCGTAAAATCTCAGTGCCCAATCTAATATATCAGATTACGAAACATTGCTTTCTTTCATTTTGTTTTCCTGTGTTGTATAAGACGTACCGATGGTTGACGAATAGATGTGGCTCAGAGATGCGAATAGAGCCGTGTACATGAGAGTAAGATTGATCATCATGTTGCGCAAAGATGCTTGCAGGAGAAGAAAACAAGATGATAGAGAACTGTGTTTCCGCAGGTGTCACAGCATAGTCACATCTCAGATCGCAAATGAACAAACTCTGGAGAATCAGAGAACGGATATTAGTGTCTAGAACGATGGCACGCTAATATGAGGCAAGTAATAAGCTACACTCATGTTTGAATTATTTTGGTGTTGACGATAGGCAGAGCTAAATCCCAGCTGAACATTCTGCGAATAGATATGTTGCATAGAATCCGACCAACGTCTCATTTAACACGAGAAAGCAGATTCAGTTGGTTCTAATTTTAGCACCCAAAGCAACCTGCCACTTGCATCTAACCGTATACACATATAGATCATAAGGTTGAATAAAACCAAAGAATCACGACTACCTGATGAGTCCCATTGGGGAAAACTATTTAGAAACTTTAATAACCTTAGAAAATGGAATTCTACGCTGACACATGCAAGGCAATGTGAATATACACCATGGGGATCATGTTTCGCACTCATTTGTAAAGCGTACTCGTGTTTGTATGATACATGCATTCATTAGGAAAGGTCTACAGGGGAATACAATGTTCAAACGTTTCAAATGTCACTATCTTTCGCAATATTACTGGCTAACTCCGCAGGCTTTTGCCCCTCCGGATGCTGTTCATTCTGATGTCAAAAAAGCGGAGCGATGCCGCAAAGCCGACACTGATGTGTT